GTCTACGACAAGTACAATCGCTTGTTGGTCAAAATCTATCTGACCGTAGTCTGACTTTGCCTAGAAAGGTCTAGCAAAATGTCTGCTTTAGCTTCAAAGTAGCCAGCAGGACGGTCAGTACCTGTTAGTATGAAGCAGCTTTTGCACGCCATCGGCCAGCTGAGACATCCGAGCCTCGATATCTGATTGAGCCTAAACACAGTAACAGACATGAAGACAAAACAAAAAATAATCAACTATTCATATGAACTACTCTCCAGAGTCCTGGTGGACTATTAATTTTACTTGGAATTGTTACAAGTATCACTGCTGTCTCCTAATGTAGCTTATGGGGCACCATACTGTTGGTTAGGCCCCACCTGCTAATTAGTCTGGATCTGCAGGATTTCTTGTTGACAATCCTAAGTCTTTGCTTTATTTTGTTTAGCCCTTTAAAGCCCGAACCGAGAAAAATAGGAAGAATATTGGATTTTTTTTAGTCTGAAGTATTTCTTTGGCCCCTCAACAACATATGAAGAAAAAAAAACACACACTTATTCTATCAAATTAGCGTGCAATAAGTCAAAAATATATTTTGGTGTAGTCTTCTACTGGCTGTTATCAGGTATATCTGAATGTGTACAACAGGGGTTTGAGCAAAGCTTTTTACCATTGAATGATGCAAAAAGTCTCAGATCCAAAAGACTTCAGAGACCGTATGTATCAAATATGATACATTTGGCATTATAGGGTTAAACAGAAATCCACATTATATCAGTTACCACAAGTGACTCGCTCATTTTAATGTTTAATTTTCGTTTATAATATACTCATGACTACAAATCGGGGATTAGTTTTGAAATAGTTTTGAAAATGGTCAAATAAATTAAAATTTCAGTTTAAAACAGGTTTCCTTTCCATCGGGTGGTCTAGAATTCAAGTAGACACAAGTAAAACACCTTTGCTTTTTTAACATAAAGTTCCAAATCATCTAAGGTTCCCCCCCTTTTCAAGAACACTTAATTTAATTGTTTTTTTGTGAGCTACAACTCTCCTGTTTTCCCGTTCTAACAGAAAATACCTTCAGGATTGGGGCGGCAGCAGAAAGAGCTGCAGCCGTTGCTGCGGCTGCGGCTGCTGCTGCGGTGCTGGGGTCTCCCGGGCAGCCAGAGGATGTCCGGGCCCCCCTCACCACAGCTGGATCCTGCAGGCTCTGAGCAGGAGGGGTCTGTGGACCCGTGGCGGTCTGCAACGGTCTCTGGGGCAGCAGCTGGACTTTAACTTCCCTCTTACGGCTGGAGCTGTGAGAGCTGAGCAGCACGGACCAGAATGAACGGACATCAGCCCCTCAACGGCCACCACCCCTGATGTTACACGATAAAATGCTAGTGGAGACGTAAAATGGCCGTTCAAGTCATTTAATTCAATTCAATTTTATTTATATAGCGCCACATCACAACAACAGTTGTCTCGCAGACCCTACTCTGAAGTTAATTACAGAAACCCAACAATTCCCACCATGAGCAAGCACTAGGCGACACAGGCAAGGAAAAACTTCCTTTTAACAGGCAGAAACCTCGAGAAGAACTCACCCACGATAAGTTCTATGTTAACATTTTCTGACACACAATTTTCTCACCGTTCTTTCAGAGCTCCAAGTCCAACTCCTCGCTCTCCAGCCGTAAAGCGAGACATCTGGAGGTCCGAACCTGGCCACAATGATGCAGTCAGTAAGATGATGAGATGGTTTTTGTTTGCTGTTCTCTGTTTGTCTCAGAGAGACTTTCAGTCAATTACACATGTCATTTTTAGCAATCTTTCAAAGTAGCTATTACAAACGAAAAATGTCAATGTTATCTATTTGTTAAATGAAGAAATGAGAAAGCTAAAGGGTCCTTTTTCAAACATAACCCTGAAACTTCTCAGCCTGTACAGTCTCCTTTGGTCAATAACCATCTACTTTCTGACAGTTTCTCTTGTTAGCAGGTTCTACAGAATCTACAGCTGTTCCCACAGATTAAACTTGTGTGTGAGGAGTCTTTGAATGTCCTAAATCAGAAGTGGACTTTGACTTGGCCCCTCCATCAATAGGTAGTACAGTTCTTAGTGGCTGTTTTCTTAAACTTCATGGAGATTTTAACAAATCATCCGGCTGTTTTCTTCAACTTTATGGAGATTTGAACAAATCATCCGGCTGTTTACTTAAACCTTATGGAGATTTGAACAAATCATCTGGCTGCTTTCTTCAACTTTATGGAGATTTGAACAAATCATCCGGCTGTTTTCTTAAACTTTATGGAGATTTTAACAAATCATTCGGCTGTTTTCTTAAACTTTATGGAGATTTTAACAAATCATTCGCCTGTTTTCTTAAACTTTATGGAAATTTTAACAAATCATCCGGCTGCTTTTATGCTGCAGGCTTGTTTAGCACTACTTTTTCGAATAAACTCGTTAAAATCAACATCTGCTATCTGTAACACCCCTGGCCTCTTACCGGCCGCAGGCTTCCCGGAACCCGGCCTCTTCCAGGGCTTCTGTTCGCCCCCCTCCTGCTCGGGCCGGTGGGGCTGACCCAGCTTCTGGACCGTTATCTGGACGGACCGAGCCTCTGGCGGGGGTTCGTGAACCCTTCTGGTGGGAAGAACCCGGGTGGGACGAACGAAAACATCCCCAGCGTCCAAGCTGAGGGGGTCACGGGGACTCGAACGTAACATGTCAACAGTAATATTTCTATCAAACTGTTTCGAAACAACTTCGTTATCTTTGAGGCATTTTAAACTTCCCGCTTTGACGTCTCGGCAGCTGGGCGTTTAAAAGCCGGCGCGAAAAAGTATATTGAACGGGTCAAATCTGACCAAAAACTAATAAATGCAACACAAAACTACAGACCAACGGCCTGAGTGGGAAAAAAACAACATATCTGACAATACTGCGTCAGTTGTTGCCAGCTATAGAAAACTACTTCCTTATTTGCTTCTTCTTCTTCTTCTTCGCCTGTTGCTGTTCTTCTTCTCTCGGTTTTAAACCACAGCTGGTATCCTCGAACTCGACACTGCCCTCTCCCGGAAAGACAGTATGTTACTAACTGTAGTCTTTTCTGTTTTCCACAAATCCAAAGGGCTTTCCACAAGAGCCTCACTCCATGTTGCCGTCCAAATATTTATTCTCCATATCTATCATAAGTCTTTGTTATACAATTTGATGATTTTTCAACTTTCTTGCTGATTAAACAGGGTGATGCTCGCCTTTAAAAGACTTTGGATCGTTGTAAGTCATTTTGTCCCGACTCTTCCCCCTCTTCCCCTAACTTTCTGGGATGCCAAAACGAGGTGGAATCAGCATTTTTTTTTTTTATTCCAACAAAGCACCGCATCACAACACACACTGACCCTGGTCACTTTAGCTAAAATGTTCAAAAATCCAAATCAATATAATTAATGCGCTGCCAGTTTAAAAAAATCCTAACCAGAGGAACCAGTAAATTGCACCACATCCTCTCTTCAATCGCATCCCCATCCTGAGCGTGTCTGAGGCGATTGTGGGAAGAAAAAAAATCCCTTTTCACAGGAAAAACCCTCTTTGAGAGGTTTAATGTCACACGTACATGGAGGGGAAAGAAAACAGAAGCAGAGGAAGTTCATCATGGGAACTATTGCATCAGTCTGGACCTTAAATGTGATGGGGAAAACAATAGTATCTGCTTTCTCAGTTTAATCACTCCTGTCCATTATTTTAAAAATCCATACATATATCCATTCCACTTGTACTCCCACTGGAATTTACACAAAAGCAACATCACATACAAATACGTGTGTGGGTCAAAGCAATGCTTAATACGGACTCCATTGTTAAGAATTGCTCTGACCCACACACGTATCCATTGAAATGCCATAAGTGGGGCACACATTTCTGTAGTTTCTTGTCCTGTCCAGCAAATATTCACTGTTTGGCACAAGGGCAGCTGAGAAAGAAAATTGATGGATTTCGTAAACTATCTCAAGTTGTGTGTTATCTGCCTACTATATTGCATATTACTAGTAGGGTTGTGCTGGGTCTGAACTCATCTTAGCTGCAATTTGGCAACAGGAAGGGAACATCCACATGGCATTCCATCACAGGGGCAAACAGAGAGAAACACACACACACTTGTATTTACTCCTACAGACAATTTAGAGTCACCAATCACCCCTACAGGTGGTTTTGTTGTGATAAACAGTGAAGATATCTTGTCTCAGACATCTAAGAGAGAAATCAGTTTTGGGATTTGTTGAACAATAAAAAAAATGACTGTTTTTTCAGAATTGGGTGACAGAACTTATGCCAACATTGGTGGTGTCTGGTGGCTTGTTTGAGTGGACAGGTGATGGCCAACATGAACAGTTTCCAATGAGTCAAGAAAGTGACAGAGAGACAAGGTAAATACTCCAGCACGGACTGTAACAAAGCAGCTTGACTTCACTTTGCTGCACGGGCAATAAAAGTGAGGATCCTGGAGTTTATGATTTTGTGGGATAGACCCCTGTGTTGGTATAATCAATCAATCTGAAGCTCGATGACCACGAGCCACCAGGATGACCACAGGGAACCAGGAACCCAGATGTGGGGGGGGGGGAAACAACATGAAATCAAAAAGATAATCCAGACAAAAATAGCCAAAGGTTAGGAAAGCAAATAAAGAAAACTTGTTATAAAGGAGTTGTAGTCGCATGCTTTTGATGCCTCTTTTTTTAGATTCAGCACCAAAAATAGACACCTGTTAGAAAACTCACCTCTGACACACTTGCCAGTGATTTTTTTATTTTGAGTGGATATAAACAGAATATAATGTTGCATTATTTTATGACACACGGGAGCCTATAAATGGCTTTTTTTTTTCAATACATCACTAGATATAGATTAAATAAATAAATTAATGATGAGTGGTCTGGAGTTACACTGAATCAGTGTTACCACTGTTACTTTTGAGACCTTCATTTGATTAGATTTTATTCTACGTGTGTTTTTTCGTCGTTTCCGCCTCGGCAGCTGTAATGCTGTACGGCACTTTCGTCACGATTTGCTTTCCAGGGTCATCTTTAAACTTTCGTTTCAAGCTAAATGTTTACAATTTCCCTGTTGACCTTCCCAACTGGACGCTCCAAAAACGAGCCTCACATAATTCCATGAATTATTTTAAACCCTGACGAATCTGCGGGCCAGGGTCTCAGTGTGTCCTTCACTACCCGGTGTCACACACGGGCAGCACGCGCCTCACAACGGAAACACACACACAGGTAACACCGCTTATTTTTTATTTTTTTAGAGTTTAAACAGTTGTTCTTTTGCCTTGTGAGGAAGGACAGATGCTGGTGAAAGACGAGAGGGTCAATGTCGGACGGAACTATGAAGCTCAGCGGGCTAGCTGTTAGCATAGCATCAGAGGCCTACGGGTAGCAGGAAGCAGGCGGAACGGGTAAAGTAGGGAGCAGGGTAAGGGCTAGGGAGAAGTGTAAGTGAGCAGGGAACAGGGTAAAGGAGCAGGGAGCATGGTTAAGGAGCAGGGCTAAGGAGTAAGGAGCAGGGTTAAGGAGCAAGGTAAAAGAGCAGGGTAAAGGAACAGGGTAAAGAAGCAAGGTAAAGGAGCAGGGAGCTTGGTTAAGGAGCAGGGAGCAGGGTTAAGGAGCAGGGTAAGGGAGCAG